GTCATACAAATTAATCCGAACATTTTTCGGTTCTCTTGATGGTGGAGTATTCTGGTATATTAGTTCTGGTGGTGGTTGCGCCTCAGGTTGTACTTTTGGTTCATCTTCAGGAATATTTAACGGTATTTCTGTTTCGCCATTCGATGCTTCCTCATGAAAAGAACCGGCTTTAGATCCCCTATCAGACATTTTGGAATATTACAGTCCAAACTTAAATAAATTTCTGCGATGGTCCTGTGCAAAATTTGTTTATGAATGTAATCTACTGGTATGCTAATCCCATGTTATGATCCTGTGTATAATTTAGCGGTATCTACATCTTTATGATTAGATTAATAGTACAATGGAATGTCTAACGTCCTTTTCGTTTGTGGATATGCGAGATAAACGACTGATGTAAACGTACCTAAGGTCAAACTCTATCAAAAGTAATATAGCACGCGTCTCCGCCTCGTCATGCCCTAAAGATAATACCAATGTAACTGTCGGATTACATATTTTTTATCTGTCAAGCTGTCAGATATTATTTATTATATACTAGTATAAAGACATATACCAAGTATCTATTATTATTGTTCGATAGTAAATTTATATAAAACTATGTTTTGATACATTCTCAACTGTTTTCTTTTTGCTTATTTCGCAACATCTTTACAGAAGAAAAAAACATCATTCGTGTATGTATTCGGAATAAAACACACATACCAAAAAATATAAGTACTAATTGTTAGACCAAGAAATCGTATCCAAATTGAGAGAGAGAGAGAGAGAGAGAGAGATTTCTTCTGAAAAGCAACGGATCAAGAAATATACATGCCCATACCCCTAGATGCGTATTGATATTGTTAGGTTTTTGTTAACTTCCGCTATAAAGATGGTTTTCGTTCAATGAATAATTCAAAGTTTGGTGACTATGATAAATGCATACATGTATTACCCAAATACACTTGAAATAAAGGATACCAAATATACGGTTAAGTTTACTTCCTATCGTGACTTGCATATAGAAAATGACAAAGATGGTCGGTTCAGAACTTAACTTTACCACAAAAGGGATGATTTCAATATTTCCGATAAAACTTTCCATTTCTGTGTAGCAACATTCCAGCAGCACCTGCATATCGATATATCTCACAGTTGATACGATGGGCTTGCTTTTCTTATCATGAATTCCTTTACAAAGAGTTACTGCTTACAAGGAAGCTATTGAATCAAGGGTTATATGGTAATTTGAAATCGCCCCTTCGAAAATTTTACGGACACCATCATGATTTGATTGATCGTCATTGAATATCTGAATCACAGATGACCACGAGTATGATCCACTTTTCGTAACCAAAATCCTGTTCTCTTTTCATCGATCTCAACATTACCGAATGCGATTTATCACCTTATTTTGATATGCAATGAGTAAAACGACTGATGCCACTAGTGTGGCAGAAATTGCTTAACCTTCCTGAGCGCCTGAGTTCATCTCGTTTTTTGTTGTTGGGTTCTTGTTTCCCAATCCTTGGTTTTCTGTGTAGTATTTTGTATGTTTTTTTTGTTTATTCGTCACTTTTCTTTTTAGCCATGGTGTTGTCTGTTTTATTGGACTTAAGACTTTTGATTGACCCCTTCGTATATCCTGTCTTTTTTCCCTATTTATTTTATAATTTAGTTATTTAGCTACTGCATATACGAAAATAAATCAATTGCATGCACATCATTTTTGCAGAAAATAAATCATGACTCAACTGCAATGTACCTTCTCATGCATTAAAAATTGTGACACATTCGTGGTGTTATATTGCATCCGATGATGTCGCGAAAGTATTGGCGTCATCTACATCTAATGTTACTTTTCTGATTACGTCTATCTTAGAAGAAGTACTATACGGTAGACCTGTCATATTTGGTATTGGTATTCATGATTTTCCGTTTCAACCATAAAACAAGGCTGCGTTCTCTATTGTGATTCAATGATGTTGTTATTTTGACATTGTTAAACTCTTGACATCTTTCTTTAAGAAAAGTTTTACATTAGACCATTCATATTTGGTCTAAGTTTGGAATAGTACATTAAGATGCCCTCTTTATTCGGTAATCTTTGGCATTGTTCACTTTCGTGAATAACTTTGTAACAGACCATTGGTATTAGGAATGTTTATAAGATCAATACCAGATTATTTAATTCCAAGACTATCAAGAGGCTGTAATGGTTGGTATTATTACAGTTTGCATTAATATGACTATTACAACTTGGAAAGACTTTCAATCAAATTGTAAATAAATCAAATACATTTAGGATTTATTTGAATCGTAGTTAAATTTGAGGTAAAATAGGTTGAATCAAATCATCTATTTGTCAACTTTGCTTGTCTGTTACAGTGTACAGAAGCACTAAATGTGACCTCCGATGAATAATAAGAATCCTATGCATTTAAAAGGCAACACAAAGTCTTGTTGCATTTACTATATCTAGTTTTTTTTTGTCCCTGATTATATGTTAAATTGAATTTAAAAACAAAAACAAAAATGTGAGAGCAACGGAAGTAATACAAAAGATAAAACGCTACTTCCAATGATAACGTAAACGCCATCATTAAGTTCAGATCGCTCGCCTACATCTTCTCCTTGCACTCGATGTTCCATCCAGCTATGCATGCCCCTGAATGCGATGTATAAGCAACCACCGGCGCTTGTGGAATGGAATCCTATTAACTAGCTTTTTCTGTGTTTTAATTTTTTAATATTTTAACCTATTTTCATTTGTTTAATCTTTTCTTGCTATTACAATAACAGTAGTGTATATATGATGCCCCTCTATTCTTATATATGGAAAATACTCGGGTGCTCCCAAAGGATTCGTTGAGTTATGTCCAGTGTACAATCACTCTTTTCACAAAAATTAAAATGAAAATGAAATGTATGGATTTATTGTAGTAAAAAAACAAGTTTTAGAAATTTGTCAACATGATTCTTCAATGTTGCAATTTGTGCAGGCAAAAGATAGGTAAGTTTCGTCAAGATGTTTTTTGTAACATTGTCTTTATGAAACACATAAGTTTAGTTTAATCTTCACTTTTTTACTTTAATATTATATATTGACAATGATAGTATTTCTTGTTTTATATAACTATTCAGTAGATGATACAACAACAATGCTTATCCCTTCTTCTTCCATTTAGGAAACCGGATTCAAAACTGAATGTCATTGGTTCCGCGCGAAAACTTTGCGCAGTGTCGGGCAACACAGAAAGTACTCTCTTGGCTTTTTTTTACATTTAAAAACGTTCGCAATGTTTTACAATTTAAATTATGTTCAACTTGGTGTTGCCCAGTTCCTTTCAGAGCATACCTTTAGGACAACCCTGAAACCCTAAACTGTGTTGGCCGATGATAATGATGTTGGTAAATTGTTCCAATCCTTGGTTAGATAGATTGGCCGTAGGCATCTGTACATGTTCATTCTTGGTAAAATCAGTTTTTATCTCTGGTCCGGTTATCATTTGGGGACAGATATCGTTGACGGTCTATGTCGATTAGATCATGCTGGATGGCTTTAATAGCACGCATAATCTGCTGGGTTTTTTCCCGTTCTTCGAGGCTTTCCCATTCTAATGTTTTAACCATATTTGTGATAAAGCCAGGTGTTCGGTTTGTGTAGTTGTTGTTTACAAGTCTTGCTGTTTTTTTTCTGTACCTGCTCTATTGCCTTGATCTTATTTTGGTTTGTTAGATCACATAATGTGCTTGCATATTCAACTGCAGGTCTTACCATGGATACATATTATGCAGCTGCCTTTACAGGTTTTTTGCAGCCTTTAAGATTTCTGCGGATAAATCCTAATGTTTTATTTCCTTTGCCAACTGTACTATCGATGTGTTTATCCCATGTTAGGTTGTTACTGATTGTTACCCCTAGGTATTTGCTAGCTTTTACTGTGTCTAGATTATGACCGTGTAGTTTGTATGTTTGTATCACTGGTCAATTTTTCTGTGATATTCTTTTGACAAGGCATTTTTTGGCGTTGAAACTAATTTCCATTTGTTTTCCTTAATGCTGTTAAGTTTTTATGAAGAAGGTCACTGTCTGCTTAGTTGGTGATGGTACGAAAGGGTAGGCTGTCGTTGGTGAATAATTTGGTCTCTGATGTTTCTGGCATTTCATTAATGTAGGCCAGAAACAGTAATGGTCCTAGAACTGTGCCTTGGGTACGCCTGAGAGAAGTGGTACTTGCGCGGAGACCACTCCCTCTAGTATTACGCTCTGTTTCCTGTTATGTAGGAAGGAACGAATCCATCTGTTGGTTTTAAGGGTTGTCGCCGTATTATTCAAGCTTGTGTAGTAGGCGGTGATGGCACCTTGTCAAATGCTTTTGCAAAATCTAGAAGATGATGTCTACTTGACAAATTCTTTTCAATTTTGATCTATATGTAAAATACTAACATCCCAGATAAAAGTCCTAGTATTCATCCCAAAATGAAACCCATTACAATATCTAGGGATGGTGTTTATAAACTTATCAAAACCATAAACCCTAATAAGGCTACTGGTCCTGACAACATCTAGAAACCAATAACACACTTTATGAATTGCAACATGGATTTAGGGCAAAACTCTTTGATACTTATCCACACCTGATATTAGCAGGCAATCATGTTTTTATCTTAAAAAAATAAAGAAATTAAATAAAAATGTTGTTCTAAAAACAAAGAAAAATTGTAAAAATTGATAATATAAAAAATATATGACCAAACAAAAAGTTTTTAAAATTATAGAAAACTAAAAATTTTGTTAATCTACGTTTGATAATACTTAATAGATTATAAATTTGGGGGAAACATTTACCAGGCATGCACCAAAGTAAACATCAGTATGTTGATGGTTTTCTGTAACCGAAGAAGAAGAATATAGAAATTTTGGGTACGAGATAGAAAAGGTACGAGTTGGTGGAAATTCATTGTATGTATACACAAATTATTTCCCTTGTTCTTATAAATAGTATCAAGGGGTTTTCCTGAAATACGAAATCCAAAGCAAAGATGGAACACAAAAAGGTTTTCCTCGACACAGAAAATCATGTATATTCATTGGAAGATTTGATAGGTCGTGGTGCTCAGGGTAACATATACAAAGGAATACATAAGGTATTGAAATGATACAAATTTTTAGTAAATAATAACTACTATACAGACCTGTGACAGAGTATCACGCAGTTGCCGAGTTGGGGATTAAGATTTGAAAATTTTCAGTTGAGTTTTTGGTCCCATTTCTTGATATTTTGTTTTGTGTTTATTTTGTTAATGAAAATACAAATTTCCCATTTTGTAATGTTATAATCTCTAGGATTCGGTGCCTGCAGTGATTTTGATTTGGCAGCCTAAATACTGAAGAATATGCATTTGGTGCATCTAATGTATTAAATGTGTGTACATTTCGAACAACTGGAGAAAGAAATGTGTCCCATTAAGGATTTCTAATTTGAACATATCCTTAATGGGACACATTTCCTTCTCCAGTTGTTCGAAATGTACACACATTTAATACACAAATTAAAAAGGTGATGTTAATGTTTTAACTTTTATAAATAATTTACTGCCATATTTATAAATAAACCAGTATCACTAGCCTGTCAACACTCAGGTTGTGAGTTCAAATCCTGCACATGGCAGGTGCGCTCAACTCCAATCTTAATTTACTAGGATGGTCAGTTTTCCTACCGAAGGTCTGTGGTTCTCTCTGGGGAACTCTGACTTCCTCCACTAATAAGAACTGACCACCCACAAAATAGCACAATATTCTGTATTCTGAATATAGTGCTGAAAATGGTATTAAACACCAATCAATCAGTTAATATAAACAAACATTATCTCCACAAGCTTTGTTGGTGTTTAGGGTTAAACATATTATGTTCACATCTGATATGTAAGTTTAATGTCATTCTTGTCACGGTTTACATGTTCACAAATAGATGACAGATGTCATCTTTTCTGTAATTTCAGATTCACGATTTGGGTCTGAATATATGGAAAGAATATACAAATTTCAGACTTCTCGCTCTGCTAATGATATTGTTACAATAGTTATTATTATTGGTATTATCTTGTTTCAGTCCAGTGGGGAGGTTCATGCCTTGAAGATGTTTGAGAAATATAATTTGCAGACACAAAGAGAAATGGATGCACTAAGTAAACTGCAGCATCCAAATATTGTCATGTTTTATAAATGTGAAAAAGATGTAAGTTATTAAATTAAGTAGATCATGAATTAGGCCTTTGGTTTTTTCTTTTGAATTGTTTAACACTATGTCATACCAAGGTCCTGAACATGCATGAAATATATACCCTAGACATAAAGCAAACAGCAATCAGTCATACCAAGACCTTGTATAGCTTTCTATACAGTATGTGTTTTGGTCATTTGGTGACTTATAGTTGTTTAAATCCTCATCTTTAGGTATGATTGTCAATGAGACAACTCTCCACAAGAGACCTATTGACGTACATGTAGAAGTAAGCAACTATAGGTCACTGTACGGCCTTCAGCCATGTCAGACAACGATGAGCAAAACTCATATCAAACAGCATGATATAAAATGCCCCTGAGTGACAAATGTAAAACAATTCAAAGAAGAAAAGTAATAGACTGATTTATGTATAACACAATAAACGAAAAACAAATATAATATACAGCAACAAAGGACAACCACTGACTTGGCAGGAAATTTTGTGTGAATAAGACACACAATTTGGATGGTCTACATAACAATTTGATAAACATATCAGAATTTTAGAGGAAGATTGAAGTAGTACACATACATGTAAGAGGAATTAACCCAAGAATCGATATGCAACAACTCTAATAACACAAAAACATACAACTAAAGCTAGGGGAAACTTTCTGTGGCTTCTACAAAGACAGAAGACAAACTCTGTCAATGTAATGAAAAAAAGGATCTGGTGTATTAATTCATGATACAAAATCCTTACATGCACATGAAAAAAATTGTTTTTATATTGTCATATCTCATTTTACAGTGTAAAAGAAAGGATGTAATTGTTATGGAGTTATGTGAGGGAGGAAGTTTACTGGATTCAATCAGGAAACCAGAAAATATTACAGGGCTAGAAGAAGAAGAATTCCTCAGAGTGTTTTCTCATTTAGGTTTGTTTTGCAGACTATGCATATTTGAGGCTTTATCATTTCACAATACCAATGGACCAATAATCGTTTTTCTAGTTGTAGTTTTAATTCATTTCTTCAAACAGACCACCTTGTGAAAAAATTTCAACCTTTTCAATTTCTAGAGAAAGTTTTCTAGTAATATAATGTGGTGAAAATAATCTATTCATCTATTTCAAACGTTTCATAAAAGTGACACCTAGCTATATAACAAAAAAGACTTTGATATGAAAACTTCTTTAGTAATGACATATATCAACATTTGCATGGAAGCTTGTTACATAAAACATTCTATTTTGTTCGGATCCTATTAAAAATATGTATAAATGATTGTTGTCTATTTTGATCACTCAGTTGATTGCAACAACAACAAGGTCACAAACTATGTAAATTCTCAAGTAATAATAATTTAGTGCAAGTTCTTTCTCATATTGATTGAGCTCATTTTAATAAAAAGGGACTTTTGAAAATAATGTAGTTGAGAGTTAACTGATAGATTTTATTTTATTTCCAGTTTCTGGTATGAAACATCTTAGAAAGCATGGATTTTCACATAGAGATATTAAACCTGGAAATATTCTTGTTTGCATAGGGGAAGATAGCAGGTATTGATATTTTTTATTGTAAGAGTGACATGCTAAAAGATGATGTATTGATTGGTGTTTTCTTAACAACCAGTGGCAAACGTTTCATGAAAAGATGAAATGAAATTGGAAGACAAATATATTTATGAGGTTGATAACCTCATTTAAATGTGAGATATCTATTAAAAAGACAAAAGTGTAAAAATAGAGATATGTGATTAGATATAATTATGAATTTAGTTTAAGCACATTTATTTCTGTCACAGAAGCATGGGTTCAAATCCCAATGAGGTAAGAACAAAAATGTGCAACAGCATTAAAAATGGAAAACATAAAGAATAATAGTTTCTGGATGGTAGCTTGATTTCACTTGATTGATTGGAATGAAACTTATACAGATGGAAGATATACAGAGGATTACTCACACCACATCTCTCATTAAATACACAACAAGTTAAAAGTGTATATATTGTAAAACTAGCTACTATTGAAACTCATGTTTGCAGCATTTAGTTCAAGCAAATATATGATGTGAAATGTCAACTTAAACATTGCTTACTGAAAGTCTTGCTGTTATCTTAAATAATATGTAATAAAAATTATTTTTCTTTTTTTCAGAAATATCTACAAACTCTCTGACTTTGGTACTGCTAAACCTCTTAATGACAATGATTTCTTTGTGTCATTAGTTGGAACAGATGAATACCTTGTAAGTCAATCATTACTCAAATATGTATTCAGTTAAGGGAGGTTTTGTTTTTTCCAATAACAAGGAGTAAACTTAACTATTTAAGTGATAAGTATTATTTCAGACACAAGACTTTTCAAGCAAAAAAAAAAATATCAGCTAATGCTTAACCATACATTTAAAGTATATATTCAGGTTTCCAAAAGACATAGTATCATGTTTTAAATTGAAAAGTAATTTGTTTTTATTCTAATAAGTTGATATGTGTATGCAGTTTATTGAACCATCAAATATTTCTACAATAAATGATAAGCAACTTTTAAAAGGTTATGGCAGCTTGAAGTTATTTAAAAAAAGTCATATAGATTTTCTGCATTTTTTTTATTCAAAGAAGACTGTAATTGAATAGTTAAAATAAATATAGATTGTATTTCATGCAATAGTATTATTAAAGGGTATTTTATTAAACTCTGTTTAATGAGTAAAAGACTTAACACTGATTATTTCAAAATGCTAATACTGATCTGTAAATTTCAATTGTTTATACCAGCATCCAGATATATATAAAGCCGCCTTCATTGATAGAAGAAGAGGTGTTGGATCATTTACTATAGCAGCTGATTTATGGAGTCTTGGAGCCACACTTTACCATACAGTTACAGGCAAAGTTCCTTTCTCTCCATACATTGGACGGGATGATAAAGATGTTATGTATGATCTACTTTGGACCCTTTTTTTCATTGTTTTATTAGGAATAATAATTATCAAAAATAGAATTGTGATAATTTCTTTAAAATCTTTAAAAGTTGAAATTAGAGTTTGTCATGAATTTCCTTGTACTGTACAAGCTTACTTATTTTGAACTTGGAAAACCAACTTTTCTAGAACACTAAACAAGAAAATCTTTTATACTACCAAGTGCACATTTTTCTGTAAATTTCAAAAACCAAAAATTTATGAACCCATTTGCAAAATATAATTTTGCCTATCAACAAAAATTAGAATCCACAACTTAAAGATATTTTCGAAGTTAATGATTTTCTTTCTTTGTCACATGGGTTAAAGTGGTAGCTCAAGAATAGGCTGTGTGAAGTTGTGAGCATCACCTATTATTTTGTATTTTATGCTCAAAGAGGTTAAATGTAAAAGTTTCTTGTTGGATAAGCTATTATCATGCCTTTCTATTGATATTTTCAGGTTTGAGATGATTTCAGGAAAAGAATCTGGTGTTATATCAGGGGATCAGATATCTGCTGGTGGAAGTATTCACTGGAGTAAAAATCTCCCCAAAACATGCAGGCTGTCAAAGTAACGTGTAGTTTTCTACTTTTTCGTCATAAGGATATTTTGTAAATATATCCTCAGTTTAAAAACATAGATAGCTGACATAAAAAAACCCATAAAACTCATGATACAACTATTTCTTATTTATCCATGAACATGAAAAGGTTTGAAAAAATTCTGACAAGTTTAGATTTGAACTGATAACCAGGGAACATTACTTTGGATTATAATCATACTCCAAGGTAACAGATACTAGGCTCATAGTCAAACTGTGATTAGAGAAAGATTCATATTGATATTGAGGTCAGCACTTCTAATGTAAAAGTCACAGATACTAAAAAATAATCTGAAATTATACCTCTACTCTAGGAGGAAAGGCCATATTGCACCCACTTTATTTGCAGTCCCTTTGTCCAATAAATATTTTTGCCTCACTTTTCTCAGGTATTCCAGAACAGAAAAATGATTCTAGTTGGAACTTCACTCACTGGTAGATAATTCTGTTTCACAGAAATGAAAATGCAATCTATTTGAATACATAGATTCTTAAAGGGACATTAGCTACGAGATAAACAAAAAATTAAAATATGATTTCTTTTTGTTCAAGCATTAATGAAAGTGATAAAGTGAAATAATAATTTGCTTTTAGCAGCCACTTTGGTTCAATTTTGTCAAAATAAGCTTAGAAACATCGCTGATGAATTATTCACTTGCAAGTGAATAATTCGATCTCATTGAATCCGTATTCATGTAACCTCCAATTTAACCCCTTAGCTGGAGATAGGTTACACATGTATTCAGCTATTAAAAGAAAAAGAATGTCAACATTGAAACTGAAACGAGGATTAACCATTTGGTTGACTGATTTGATCCACAAAAAAAATCATTCTTATACAGGTAAACACGATGATAAACATACTTTTTAACCTACAATATGAAATCAAATAGACCTAGAAAAATCTAATTACACATGGTCGCTATCTGTTTATATTCATATTCATATTTATATCGGGTTATATGACCGTTGGCAGTCTTCAGAGGTCATCTTGATGGTTTATTAGATGACGTCTAGACAAAAATACACTCAAAATGTTGATACATATTATCGAGTCCATGCATTGTTTATTGTTTATTTTAGACTTTTTGTAATTTGAATAAACATTTTAGTATGTTATAAATCAAATATGACAATTTGAGTCAAATCGGTGAAAATGAATTTGACAGCTAATGCCCCTTTAATGTTGTGTAAAAAAACATTTTCAAGCATATAATAATAATAATATTAATAAAAATTCGTAAGGGTTCCACGGAACCCAGTGTCTCGCCTACTTTTGCTGTTAATCGCAGGCTCAACAAAAATGAGGAAAAAAATCTATAAAAATATTCCTTTAGATACTATATTTTGATTGTAAGAAGCTTCTGTCAAGTTTGGTATAAATCCAGGATATTTTATGAATCTAATAAATGTTTTAAAAACTTTTAACTGCAGACTGTATTTAATGTTAACTGAAAGAAAAACAAAGTCCATTTATAAGTAAAATATGGATAAACAGGTACAAATTTTAACAAAATTTCCATCTAGATACTAGCTTTTGATCATAAACAAGCTTCTGTCCAAGTTTGGTACAAATCCAGGAGAGTTTAAGAAAGTTATTAAAATTTTAAAAACTATAACCACAGAGTGAATGTATTGTTTCCTGGCAGAAAAACTAAGTCCATTTATAAGTAAAATACGGAAAAAAGGAAAATATTTTTTAACAAATTTACTTCTGGATACTATCTTATGATCATAAACAAGCTTCTGTCCAAGTTTGGTACAAATCCAGGGGGTTTAAGAAAATTATTAAAATTTTAAAAACTTTAACCACAGAGTGAATGTAATGTTTCCCGGCAGAAAAACTAATTCCATTTACAAGTAAAATACGGAAAAACAGGAATTTTATTTTTTACAAAATTTACTTCTGGATACTATCTTATGATCATAAACAAGCTTCTAAAACTTTAACCACAGAGTGAATATTTGTGGATGCCGCCAACGACGACGATGCCGACGGAATGTAGGATGGCTATGTGTGTCGCTTTTTATACGACCACAAAAAAATTTTGTGGTCGTATATTGGTATGACGTTGGCGTCGTCGTCGTCGTCGTCGTCCGGCGTCGTCGTCCGAAGACACATTGGTTTTCGCACTCTAACTTTAGTTTAAGTGAATGGATCTTTTTGAAATTTGACCATAAGGTTAAATACCACAAAAGGAAGGTTGGGATTGATTTTGGGGGTTATGGTACCAACAGTTAAGGAATTAGGGGCCAAAAAGGGGCCAAAAATAAGCATTTTCTAGTTTCCAGACAATAACTGTGGAACGGTGTATGGATCTCTCTGAAATTATACTACAAGTTTCCATACCACAAAGGGATGGTAAGGATTTGCTTTGGGGGGTTACGGCTCAAACCGTTTAGGAATTAGGGGCAAAAAAGGGGGAAAAACAAGGTTGTCCTGGTTAATGGACAAATACTTTAGTACAAAACATAATTTAAAGCAGTGTAAGGGAGATAAATCAAATACATCATTGAAATTATCTCCCTTACACTGCTTTTAAATTATGTATAAAGTAATGGTTAATGAACAATAAAGATAATTTAAAACAGTGTAAGGGAGGTAATCCAAATACAACGTTTTGGTTACTTCCCTTACACTGCTTTTAAATTATGTTTAAAGAAATGCATATTTATAAAGGAAGACCAGTAAAAATATCTGCAAATGTTGCATGTTTTTTTTTTACAAAAAAATCCATATGAAAAATTTGACACTATATTTTTAATTCTATTATAAAATAGATTAAGTTAGCACTATGGTAAATTTAAATGGGTAATTATGGTTGCCAACTCCATTGGAAATTTGAATTGAGATTATGACCATATCTTGAGGGAAAGAATTTTTTTGGGGAAAAAAGGGGGGGGGGGGGATAAAAAGAAATTGTGGGGGGTCAATTTTTTCTCATTTCAGATTTCAGAAATTAAAAAGAATTATTCTTCAAATATTATTTTTTTTTCAAGTTTCAAATATTGAAAAATTTCAAGAAGTAATCTTTAATTGCACAGTATGGCGCATTAGATTTGTAAAATCTTTGATCACATTTATTTATTTGTTATGCCGAATCTAACAGTGTATTTAGATTTTTAATTTTGGGTCCAGTTTTCAAATTGGTCTACATTAAGGTCCAAATTGTCCAAAATTAAACTTTGTTTGATTTTAGCAAAAATTGAATATATGAGGTTCTTTGATATGCTGAATCTTAACATGTATTTAGATTTTTGATTTTTGGCCCAGTTTTCAAGTTGGTCCAAATTGGGGTCCAAAATTAAACTTTGTTTGATTTCAACAAAAATTGAATATATGGGGTTCTTTGATATGCTGAATCTAACCATGTATTTAGATTTTTTATTTGTGGACCCGTTATCAAATTGGTTCATATTGAGATCAAAAGGGTCCAAAATTAAACTTTGTTTGATTTCATCTAAAAATGAATTATTGGGGTTCTTTGATATTCCAAATCTAACCGTGTATTTAGATTTTTAATTTTAAGTCCTGTTTTTTAAATTGGTCTACATTAAGGTCCAAAGGGTCCAAAATTAAACTTAGTTTGATTTTAACAAAAATTGAATTCTTGGGGTTCTTTGATATGCTGAATCTAAACATATGTTTAGATTTTTGATTATGGGCCCAGTTTTCAAGTTGGTCCAAGATAGGGCCCAGTATTTAAACTTTGTTTGATTTCAACAAAAATTGAATATATGGGGTTCTTTGATATGCTGAATCTAAACATGTATTTAGATTTTTGATTATGGGCCCAGTTTTCAAGTTGGTCCAAATTGGGGTCCAAAATTAAACTTTGTTTGATTTCAACAAAAATTGAATATATGAGGTTCTTTGATATGCTGAATCTAACCATGTATTTATATTTTTTATTTGTGGGCCCCGCTATCAAATTGGTTCATATTGAGGTCAAAAGGGTCCAAAATTAAACTTTGTTTGATTTCATCAAAAATTGAATTATTGGGGTTCTTTGATATGCCAAATCTAACCGTGTTTTTAGATTTTTAATTTGGGTCCTGTTTTTTAAATTGGTCTTCATTGAGGTCCAAAGGGTCCAAAATTAAACTTAGTTTGATTTTAACAAAAATTGAATTCTTGGGGTTCTTTGATATGCTGAATCTAAACATGTGTTTAGATTTTTGATTATGGGCCCAGTTTTCAAGTTTGTCCAAGTTGGGGTCCAAAATTAAACTTTTTTTGATTTCAACAAAAATTGAATATATGGGGTTCTTTGATATGCTGAATCTAACCATGAATTTAGATTTTTTATTTGTGGGCCCCGCTATCAAATTGGTTCATATTGAGGTCAAAAGGGTCCAAAATTAAACTTTGTTTGATTTCATCAAAAATTGAATTATTGGGGTTCTTTGATATTCCAAATCTAACTGTGTATTTAGATTTTTAATTTTAAGTCCTGTTTTTTAAATTGGTCGAATTCTTGGGGTTCTTTGATATGCTGAATCTAAACATGTGTGTAGATTTTTGATTATGGGCCCAGTTTTCAAGTTTGTCCAAGTTGGGGTCCAAAATTAAACTTTGTTTGATTTTAACAAAAATTGAATATATGGGGTTCTTTGATATGCTTAATCTAACCATGTATTTTGATTTTAGACATTGGACCATAATAGGTAAATTAAAAAAATTCAAGTTCTTAGACCACATTCTTTCTGTGTCAGAAACCTATGCTGTGTCAAATATTTAATAACAATCTAAATTCAGAGCTGTATCAAGCTTGAATGTTGTGTCCATACTTGCCCCAACTGTTCAGGGTTCGACCTCTGCGGTCGTATCAAGCTGCGCCCCAGCGAAGCATTTTATTAGACTAAAGTCGAAGGCTCGACAATAATAATAAATTCTTTATTTAAAGAGGGTAAACACAGTTAGTTACTATAAACTAATCTTCCATGAGGTCCTCACATACAAATTACAATACAATCAAAAACAGATATTTACACATAGTTAATTTACAATCAAGCAGTTCAATGTATCATGTATTATGTGGTCAGGGAAGGGTTGAAAGTTATATGTGTTAGAATGAAGAATTTTTTAATGTTGGTTTTATTTTAAAATATGTGGTTTTCAAATGTCCTCATCATTCAATTGGCAGAGACAAATAACATTGTAATCACTTTGAAAAAATTGTAACATTAATGATTTTAGACCTACTTTTATTAGTCCCCTACCGACGAAGTCGAAGGGGATTTTAGGTTTGCACTCCGTCAGTCCGTCTGTCTGTCTGTCCATCTGTCAGTCCGGCAAATCAGTTTCCAGACTTTTTTTCTTCGTGCTTGAAGACATTGATTTGATATTTGGTTTATTGATTTATCATGACAAGTTACAGGTCAAGTTCAATTTTCATGATTTTAGCTTTTCTCTTTATTCAGTTAAAGCCCTTTCCCTAGAATTAAATTTTTGATGAAATACTTATTAATTAGTAGATTTCTGTTCAAAGGGAAATAACTCATTTTTTAAAAGATTTTTATACGATTGCAAAAATTAAAAATTTTTTGGTCGTATATTGGTATGACGTTGGCGTCGTCGTCGTCGTCGTCTGGCGTCGTCCGAAGACACATTGGTTTTCGCACTCTAACTTTAGTTTAAGTGAATAGATCTCCATGAAATTTTACCATAAGGTTCAATACCACGAAAGGAAGGTTGGGATTGATTTTGGGGGTTATGGTACCAACAGTTAAGGAATTAGGGGCCAAAAAGGGGCCAAAAATAAGCATTTTTGTAACTTCCAGACAATAACTTGTGTGTAAGTGTATGGATCTCTCTGACATTGTACCATAAGGTTCCATATCACAAAGGGAAGGCTGTAATTGATTTTGGGGGTAATTGCCTCAAAATTTTAGGAATTAGGGGCCAAAAAAAGGGGCAAAAAACAAGCATTTTTCTAGTTTCATGACAATAACTTGTGTGTAAGTGTTTGGATATTTCTGAAATTGTACTACAAGGTTCCATATCACAAAGGGAAAGCTGGAATTGAGTTTGGGGGTAATTGCCCGAAACGTTTAGGGATTGGGGGCCAAAAAGGGGCCAAAAAACACATTTTTCTAGTTTCCAGACAATAACTTGTGTTCAAGTGTATGGATCTCTCTGAAATTGTACTGCAAGGTACCATACCACAAAGGGAAGGCTGGGATTGAGTTTGGGGGTGATGAATCATAAGGGGGTTCAAAAAATTTGGGGGGGGGATTTTTTTTTTTTTCTTTTTTTTTCTTTTCCTTTTTTTTTTCTTTTAGAATTTTTCATTTTAAGTTGGTTATTTCTGATTTATATTTAAAAGCAAATAATAATGATATGGTAGGAGATACACACCAAACAGGATGTGTAAATTATTATATAATAAGTATTGTGCAATAGCAAGAAATTTTAATAGCAAGAAATTTTCAATTGCACAGTATTGCACAATAGCAAGAAATATCCAATAGCACAATATTGCGCAATAGCAAGAAATTGTCAATTGTACAGTATTGTGCAAAAGAAGATACTTCATATAAATTGCTTATTTCTTGATCAATTTCAATGGGGTTTTATTCTTGAATTCTTGGGGTTCTTTAATATGCTGAATCTAACCGTGTATTAAGTTTTTGGATTTTAGGCACCATTTTTAAATTGGTCCACATTGAGGTCCAAAGGGTCCAAAATGTAACTTTGTTTGATTTCATCAAAAATTGAATTATTGGGGTTCTTTGATATGCCGAATCTAACCGTGTATTTAGATTCTTAATTTTTGGTTCCATTTTCAAATTGGTCTACATAAAGGTCCAAAGGGTCCAAAATTAAACTTAGTTTGATTTTAACAAAAATTGAATTTTTAGGGTTCTTCGATATGCTGAATCTAAACATGTATTTAGATTTTTGATTATGGGCCCAGTTTTCAAGTTGGTCCAAATCGGGGTCCAAAATTAAACTTTGTTTGATTTCAACAAAAATTGAATATATGGGGTTCTTTGATATGCTGAATCTAACCATGTATTTAGATTTTTGATTTTTGGGCCCCGTTATCAACTTTGTCCACATTGAGATCAAAAGGGTCCAAAATTAAACTTTGTTTTATTTCATCAAAAATTGAATTCTTGGGATTCTTTGATATGCTGAATCTAACCATGTATTTAGATTTTGGATATTGGACCATAATAGGTGAATGTCCAATTTAAATTTTTAAGTTCTTAGACCACATTCATTCTGCGTCAGAAACCTATGCTGTGTCAAATATTTAATCACAATCCAAATTCAGAGCTGTATCAAGCTTGAATGTTGTGTCCATACTTGCCCCAACTGTTCAGGGTTCGACCTCTGCGGTCGTATCAAGCTGCGCCCTGCGGAGCATTTTATTAAAAGATAAAATGACATTTTGGATTTTTTTCCTTTTCTTTGGTAAATTGTTTGAAGAATTTAGTGGTAGGTTTGTTTGTCATTCTTGAAGATATTAATTTGATAATTAGTATATAGTTTTATCAAGACAAGTTACAGATCAAGTTGGAATTTTGTTCCAGTCTGATAATTTTGTGCAGAGTTATGGTCTTTGGACATAGAAAATTCACTTAAATAATCAGTTTTCAACAGTTTTTTTTGTCATGCTTGAAGATTTTGACTTGATATTTTTATGTAGTTTACACCATGACAAGTTATAGATCAAGTTAGAAATTCGTTCCATTACAATGAATTTGTAACCAGTAGGGGACTATGTATTGCCATGCAATACTCACAGAATGCTTGTTTTATTTCAGATCTATGAACACCTGTATAAAAACCATTCTGTTAAATCTACTGGAAAATGATAAAACAAAAATATGGAGTTTTGAAGAATTTTTTGATGCTGCTGATGAACTATTAAGCAGGAAACCAGTTCATTTGTTTTATCCAAATACCTGTACAAGAAACATATTATATGTAAATCAAGAAACAAGGTAAAAATTAAAACCAATCCCAAAATTGTGCACTGGTAAGTAGATTTTTTCTCTGTCTTTGGGGATTACAGACAATATTGCTCAAAATAAAAATGTTACAACCTTTCAACCCTTCTCTGACCATATCTGACTATGACTTATTCTTACCTTATCTTATGCAACCTAACATTGACCCAAAGATGAGAGGTAAAGTTATGTCCAAACTTTAGGAATCACTCTAAAAAAAAATCATTTACAACTTCGTCATTAGATATTCAGTGTGTTCCATTAAAACATACATGGAACCCAGGGAAGGCAACTACACTTTCAAGTATGGGTGGGTGTGAAATATTATGTTATGCACATTTAAGATAAATTCAGGTTTCTAAGATTGCTTCTATGTGTGGCTATTCTATATGCAAAGTGCCTTACCTGCATACCATGTATTTTTAATGCAACAGCCCTTAATAATGTTTAGCATTTTTAAAATATTTTTGTATATTTTTCTGAAAAAAACTGATTTATTTAGTATTAGAATACAAATTACCAAACAACAAAGCCTTTCAGATCATATTGTTAGCAATTGGAAAGAAATGGATATTTATCTATATCTGAACATATCACAATCAAACAAAGAGACCAGATAAATGGTAAGAAAATAACATGCCTTTAATGATTTAAAAAAAAATTAACACTGTTGCAGTACTGTATAAGGCAGGTACTAATTTTCAGTGCTTGTAGATATTTTCATGATTAAGTTTGCTCACTTGATATGCAATACATAGATATAAATGTAAAGTATCACTTTATTCCATATGGAATTCCTGTCTTTTAATAATTCTGAAATTAATCGGCAGGGATCTGCTCAAATAATATTACACCATCATTTATGTGTTAAATAGAATTTCTGACATAGATTCCTTCCAATTCAATTGGACTAACTTTTTTCATATCAGAAGAACAGAAACCACTGGAAATTGCATCAGTTATGATTATCAGATAAAATCTGAACCATGGTAAAAGATAGATTTCAAATGAAGTAATTTTAGAAAGATTTATTTCCCCTTGCAGTCATAGTGGAGGTTAACATGCGTAGATTCCTTCATAAATCAACCAGATTCAACTTGTTATACTGACTGCTAGGTTTCAGAAAAAAGTTGTTTTCTGAACAATTTTAATTTGTTCAAGACTTCTATAAATTGTCACTATGATTTAAGATTAAGAACCTCTTCTAAGCATTGGCTTGTACCACATGTTTTAATTTGGTGAATCAAAAAAAAATATGAACCAATTTCCCCTCCAACATGCATATGGCGACCAAATAAATAAATCCAACTCAAATTAAGTCTATCAATAGCTATCTATTTAAAGTCATAAAAAGAAAACTTGTAAGCTGAATAGGCCATAAATGATACTTTTTTTATGCCCCTGCCGTAGCGGAGGAGGCATTAAGTTTTACCCTTGTCGGTCTGTACGTACGTCCATATGTCCCAAAGTTGGTTTCCGTTCCCTAAATTTAGTTTGCCTCAACCAAATATTATGAAACTTATACAAAATGCTTATTACCTCAAAACACAGATCAGGTTTGAATTTTGGTGGCGTCACTTTAACCGTTCTAGAGTTATGCCCCTTTACAAATGGAAAAATAGCTGAATATTTCGTTTCCGTTCTCTAACTTTAGTTTGCTTCAACCAAATGTTATGAAACTTATACACAATGCTTATTAGCACAAAATACAGATCAAGTTTGAATTTTGGTGGTGTCACTTTAACCGTTCTAGAGTTATGCCCCTTTACAAATGGAAAAAATACTGAATTTTCGTTTCCGTTCTCTAACTTAAGTTTGCCTCAACCAAATGTTATGAAACTTATACACAATACTTGTTACCACAAAACTCAGATCAAGTACAAAGGAATAAGTTCGGTAAGGGCCGAATTATAATGTTCAATGTTTCAAGATAAAAAATGTTTTAAATTGACTTAAAGACATGTGAGAAAGTTAAATAGAACTATTTGTGTCAAAGTTTTCTTCTAAAGCATTGATTTTTACATCCCAAATAGGTCAAGATAAGAGATTTTGGCAAAATTTGACAAAATCGGCCGACTTTCAATCAAATTTAGGACCAGGAAACATAGAGCGCAGGCGTCAACAAACTAAATATTCAAGTTAGACATGTAAAATGTCTTTACAAACATTATTTTAAAAGATCTTTTTTGTCAATGTATGCGCTCTATGTTTCCTGTCCAAACATCAATGGAAATTTACCCATTTTCATTGATTTTTTCGTGGAAAATCAAAATGAGTACTATTTGTGACGTCATGAATAAAACGCAGGAACGTAAATTTTCAACAAAAAGGCTTATTTCCTATCTAGTCACTGTATTAGCTATGAGTCATTGTGACATTGGTCAATAAATCCTAATTTGAAATTTAAGCTAAAAAAAGGGGCCATTTTTGGGCCTTATCGAACCTACTCCTTTGGGTAGCGTCACTTTTACCGTTCTTCAGTTATGCCCCTTTATAACTTTATATGATATGCAAGTGAAGGCATCATCTGTGTCCCATGGACACATTCCCCATTTATTTTTAAATAGTATAGTACTAGAGTCTTTAATTCTTACTTTTGTTTTAGTTTCAGGGAACTTAAGGATATGATTTCATCAGAGACGGATATTACCCATGCTAACCAGTTTGTATTATATTCAGACAATCATTTGAACAATATTTTATCTGAAACAGACTGTGTTTTTCAAAATTTTTCCACTGATTACAAGAATCCACTCATTATATTAGATGTATCTAATAAAGAGGAAATAGCCAGCATTAGTTATGAACCTTGGGAACATGTAGTGTTTGGTATGTTTTCAGATACTCAATATCGAAGATATTATTTTTTAAATTGTTAGTTATAAGATATCCTATAGCAGATTGTTTTTATAGGGTTCAAAGTTTTATTGTAGTTATGGTTTTTTTTAGGATGGGGAACCAATATTTTGCACAGAACTTCTGACAATAAGCATATGCATTCATAGAAATCAATTTAATTTAAGTTTATTTATTAGAGGCTGAAATATAAAATAGTTATCAGTTCATTTCCACAACACTAACTATGTGCTGCTTAAAATAATGTTTATCCACAAATATAAAACAGTCGAAAGTAAACTGAATATAGCATAGAACGGTAATATTTTAGAAAGTATTCAATGGTTTCAGATGAGGCTATGCCATGTTTTGAACTGACAGAACGAACAGTTTATGATATAAATAGAGATTACCAAGTGGCCAAAATTCATTGTGCAAAAATGTTTTTAATGGAGAAGATAATAAAGAAACTGGAATTGTTTAAAAAGTTGTTGCAGCAAACTGTTGGTATCAGCAGGTAACTCTAACATTTTATTATATGATTAGGACTTAAAAAGCTAAAGCTAAAATATCCAATATTAATTATGTGGAGGCATTTGGTATGGGATATATTTAGGAAAATGACAATGTTTTTCATTTGAAATCGTGCTTAATTTCAATACAGGAAAAGGAATTTCTAAATTACCTTAATCAGCCCATTTTTTGATTAAGTCTCATGTTTTAGGATGATCCTTTTTACATTTCATTTGATTCAAACTGATTTTATATGTCTTTCAGTATTTTCAAAGCTGTGCTAATTTCTTTTCCTAAACTTATTGTACCACTGTTCCAAGGGAGGGAGTATGCTGTTATATCTCTCTCCGTAAATCTGTCAGTCCCATGAAATTCTATTGCATTTTTCTCAGGAACTACAAATCAAAACTTCCTGAAATTTGTGATCAATCTTCATGAGAACATGCTTAACCAATTGTTATGTTTTCAGGTTCATTGCTCATGAACTTCCGGTTTATCAAATACTTATATATTCTAACACATAATTGCCCTGTATGAAATTTTAGTCACATTTTTCAAGGGAACTACAAATAAGAGCTTGTTATCAATCTTCATGTAAACATACTTTACCGTGTAATGAAATTTCAAATTCATTGCTCCTCAACTTCCTGTTTACTGATTACTTATATATTCTAACACATAATGGCCATGTATGAAATTTTCATCACATTTTTCTAGGGAACTACCATTAAGAGCTTCCTGAAATTTGTTATCAGGCTTTACCTTGTGATGAGTTTTTAGATTCATCACTCATAAACTTCTTGTTTACTGATATTAAAACAGGGATATCATTAGTATATGTCTAAAATGATTAAATTAAGTTTATGAATACAAATAAAGTAGAAACTTTAAATATATAAATAAACTAATCCAAAGAAGTATTCACTTTCATAAATTCATTCAGGTCTATTGTTATACATGTACTAGATTGTTTATAAAAAAGAGTTTAGTTTTAGGCTTACTTGTCTTGATATTTTTTGCATATCTGATTAAATGCTTAATTTAAAATAATAGTATTCAATAATTGTTTTATTTATAAAGAAAGCATAATGAACAGAAGTTGGACGTCTTCTCAAGAGAGTTAAGTTTCCTACGACAAAGACTTAGTGATATCAGCAGCTTAACAGAACATTCCAAGAAAGAAAAATTTACTGCTATAACTAAGGAAGGGGATGAAGCTGAAGATGATACAACAATGGTATGTATAAACAGAACTGCACTGATTTTAAACAGAACATTGAAGTTGTGACTGCTTTTGTAAGTTCTTATTGTAGATTCATCCATGTATTTTAATACACTTATTTTCTTATTTGATCAAGTCTTTTCAGATTGACACAAATTTTATAAACAGATAGCTGTTCAATTTAGATAAATCCATGTGAATCATTTGAAGTAATAATTCTTTTGATGTTTTACGAGTGTAATTTGTTTTGTAACAGCAGTAGGTCTTGTGACAGTTTGAGAAAATATATGTAATTATGTGAATAAAAGGAGATGATTGGTACACATGAAGGAGACAGTAATCCAACAGCACAAAAAATAAACTATCAAGATGTCAACTGTATATGGCCTTCAACAGTAGACAAGTATTCATACAAGCTCTACATCGTCCAGAGTCTAGAAAAGAATAAATTTAGCAGAGATAATCACCGATCTGTTATTAAAACACAAAAATTTAAGATTTAAAAACTAAAGGCACTGGAAATAATAATCATGAAATATGTATACTCCTTAAGATTTCACAAGTGAGGGTGCTGATTTTGACACATGTTTTATTGCTGTATTAAAAATCTTGTATTATGATATAGATTTCTATTCTGAAAAATAAATTACAAATTTTGCTTCCATTTTTATACGACCGCAAAAAAATTTTTGTGGTCGTATATTGGTATGACGTTGGCGTCGTCGTCGTCGTCATCGTCCGAAGACGCATTAGTTTTCGCACTCTAACTTTAGTTTAAGTGAATGGATCTCTATGAAACTTTACCATAAGGTTCAATACCACAAAAGGAAGATGGGGATTGATTTTGGGGGTTATGGTACCAACAGTTAAGGAATTAGGGGCCAAAAAGGGACAAAAAATAAGCATTTTCTAGTTTCCAGACAATAACTGTGGAACAGTGTATGGATTTCTCTGAAATTATACTACAAGTTTCCATACCACAAAGGGATGGTTAGGATTTGCTTTGGGGGGTTATTGCTCAAACCGTTTAAGAATTAGGGGCAAAAAAGGGGGAAAAACAAGGTTGTCCTCATTAATGGACAAATACTTTAGTACAAAACATAATTTAAAGCAGTGTAAGGGAGATAAATCAAATACATCATTGAAATTATCTCCCTTACACTGCTTTTAAATTATGTATAAAGTAATGGTTAATGAACAATTAAGATAATTTAAAACAGTGTAAGGGAGGTAATCCAAATACAACGTTTTGGTTACTTCCCTTACACTGCTTTTAAATTATGTTTAAAGAAATGCATATTTATAAAGGAAGACCAGTATGGCGCATTAGATTTGTAAAATCTTTGACCACATTTATTTATTTGTTATGCCGAATCTAACCGTGTATTTAGATTTTTAATTTTGGGTCCAGTTTTCAAATTGGTCTACATTAAGGTCCAAAGGGTCCAAAATTAAACTTTGTTTGATTTCAACAAAAATTGAATATATGGGGTTCTTTGATATGCTGAATCTAAACATGTATTTAGATTTTAGATTTTTGGCCCAGTTTTCAAGTTGGTCCAAATTGGGGTCCAAAATTATACTTTGTTTGATTTCAACAAAAATTGAATATATGGGGTTCTTTGATATGCTGAATCTTACCATGTATTTAGATTTTTTATTTGTGGGCCCGCTATCAAATTGGTTCATATTGAGGTCAAAAGGGTCCAAAATTAAACTTTGTTTGATTTCATCAAACATTGAATTATTGGGGTTCTTTGATATGCCAAATCTAACCGTGTATTTAGATTCTTAATTTTGGGTCCCGTTTTTTAAATTGGTCTACATTAAGGTCCAAAGGGTCCAAAATTAAACTTAGTTTGATTTTAACAAAAATTGAATTCTTGGGGTTCTTTGATATGCTGAATCTAAACATGTGTTTAGATTTTTGATTATGGGTCCAGTTTTCAAGTTGGTCCAAGTTGGGGTCCAAAATTAAACTTTGTTTGATTTCAACAAAAATTGAATATATGGGGTTCTTTGATATGCTGAATCTAAACATGTATTTAGATTTTAGATTTTTGGCCCAGTTTTCAAGTTGGTCCAAATTGGGGTCCAAAATTAAACTTTGTTTGATTTCAACAAAAATTGAATATATGGGGTTCTTTGATATGCTGAATCTTACCATGTATTTAGATTTTTTATTTGTGGGCCCGCTATCAAATTGGTTCATATTGAGGTCAAAAGGGTCCAAAATTAAACTTTGTTTGATTTCATCAAAAATTGAATTATTGGGGTTCTTTGATATGCCAAATCTAACTGTGTTTTTAGATTTTTAATTTTGGGTCCCGTTTTTTAAATTGGTCTACATTAAGGTCCAAAGGGTCCAAAATTAAACTTAGTTTGATTTTAACAAAAATTGAATTCTTAGGGTACTTTGATATGCTGAATCTAAACATGTGTTTGGATTTTTGATTATGGGACCAGTTTTCAAGTTTGTCCAAGTTGGGGTCCAAAATTAAACTTTGTTTGATTTCAACAAAAATTGAATATATGGGGTTCTTTGATATGCTGAATCTAACCATGTATTTTGATTTTGGACATTGGACCATAATAGGTAAATTAAAAAAATTCAAGTTCTTAGACCACATTCTTTCTGTGTCAGAAACCTATGCTGTGTCAAATATTTAATCACAATCCAAATTCAGAGCTGTATCAAGCTTGAATGTTGTGTCCATTCTTGCCCCAACTGTTCAGGGTTCGACCTCTGCGGTCGTATCAAGCTGCGCCCAGCGAAGCATTTTATTCAAAATTAATTTGTTTTGAATATTTGAAACAATAATATTTTTAGACAAAAGCCAGAGTACAAAAATGTGAGAAGGTAATGTCAGAAGTATCTGGATTATATTCAGAAGAGAGAAAACTATTTCCAGGACAGAAACCATGTGCAAACTGTCTACAAAATAACACAGATAGGTATGGCTATACTTTCAGTATGTTATATTTTCAAAAGACAAATATAAACTGTTTTATAGAAAGAATGGACAAGATGGAAAACGAAAAATGTATCAACTTTCCTAAGTTAACGTGAGAGTACAAAAGAAAAGCAGAAGATACTGAAGGGATATTCAAACTCATAAGTCGAAGACAAACTGGCAATGCCATGGCAAAAAAAACGAAGGACGACAAAAAGACAAACAACAGTCTACTAAACACAACATGGAAAACTAAAGGCTGAGCAACACTAATATAAAAAAATAAGAAGATGTGGTATGATTGCCAATGAGACAACTATTAACCAAAGAACAAATGAAGTGGATGTAAACAATTATAGGCAGCCGTAAAACCAAAACTGTATAGTCTGCTATAAAAGGCCACAAAAAATATTTTAATTATGCCCCCCCGTAGCGGTGGGGGCATTAAGTTTTACCCTTGTCCGTCTGTACTTACGTCCATACGTCCGTCCGTACGTCCCAAAATTTTTTTTTTTTTCTAAAATAATCTCTGAAGATCTGTATCTTGTTCACGAATACAAAGTAGATATTACCCATTTCTTTTCCCTGATACTTTTATGTGGCTTTAATAGGTATGTGAAATGACCTTCACTATTGGAAATGCTTTACATTTGGTGTTTCCAAATGTTTAATTGGAACATCTACATTTTTGATAATCTTAATCTGGATAGAAGTTCTCAGTTCAGTTTTTATACTGATCTGAAAACCAATTTGTGCCTTCTGCATTTTGACAGAAATGAATGAACTGTTTATAATGGAAAACAAAATGTGTCAATGGTTAAACAGTATTGCCCATAAATGCAAAGCCAGTAGTAAAACATTTAGCCTTAAGCTATTAAGTAAAATAACATTTCTTAACATAATATACAGCTGTTTCAATTTGTAAACTTTGCACTATGAGAGAAGTGTATTTAGTAGCATTTTTTTTTCCAAGTGAGAGAAAAGTAAGGAGACATATTGTACAATCAGAAGAACTACTGAAGAAATTTGCTGAGAGAAGAGGACAACGTATGACTGTACATATAGAATATATGCATAATTTTGACAGGTTAGTTTGTTAGAATGTCCAACTGAATTTTTTATATGTTTACTGATAAAGTGTGCCATTATTTCTGTACCTTGAATACAATTTGTGTTGTAGTCTGAAATTTCTTGTTTTAAACTTGACTCATAACTAAGCAAGGAATGTTTTATTATGTTTTGTTTTATTTTTATTATTTTTATTCAGGAAATTGATATAGAACTTAGCAGACAGTCAGATATAGTGAAAATCCAAAAGTTCATATATTCTCAGACAAAATTAATATTTGAATCTTTTTTAATGTTTTAAAAATTTTGAGATAATTTTAAAACATGTCAGTTGCATTAAAAATGTTTATGATTTTTGCAGGAAAAACATTCTGGAACATTGCAAAGAAATACAAAAAATAATGACAATCAGTAAAACAGAATTAGAGAAAGAACATTCAGATTTCATTGTCTGGAACAGGTAATGCTTTAATAATATAGATGAATAATGCTCAGAATTACTGATATAAAACTTAGATAAAACATGAATTTCGAAATTTTAATTCTTTTCGTGAATAATTTAGATGTAAATATCTGTATAACCACAATGAGGATGTGTATACAGGAATATGTTTCCATTGATGATTTTGATTCTACATGTTAAAGGGGAGATAATTAAACTTAATTCAATATTGCAATATGTGGTACATTGTAATAGTCTCTTGTAAGCACAAGTACTCCTAATTAGCCAGACAGATAATGATGAAACTTTTAACAGTCGTTGAACACCATCTGAGGATGTGCACCAAGGAATATTATCCCGTTCCTACATGTTATTGGGGACTCTGTCTCCTAGAAGACTGTAAAATCATTTTTTGGTCCTTTTCATTTTGTTTTAAATTTTAGACTTAGTTTTTATAAATTTTGAATATGCAAATACTATTGCAGGGCATGAGTATTATTTTGTGAGTTCACTCACAGTTAAATTTTTTTATTTATTGTAAATGAAAAAGCGTTGAATAAACATTTTGTATTAATGGAAAGTACAATCAATAGCTGAGTAAAGTAAACAAATGAAATAGCTTTCTTTTAGATGTTGCATTATGATACTAGTGTATATAGAAAATATATTTGTAGATTTTTTAAACAAGGAAAGAAAAAGACCTCAGAATTGGATGTATATATAAGTGAAGCTGGTTCTTCTATTGATGATCTTGTACAGACATTTAAGGTGAGGATTCTTACAGTGTATTGACACAATATATATATTTACATAAAAAATATTTATAGATTTTATATGTAGAATTCCTTAAGTTTTTTCATAATCTTTTAAAGAATAATTAATTCTTTTATGTCAAAGTAAAGTATTTCTAACAAGATATGAATCTTAGGACAATTGAGGTTCAATATCTGCTTAAGACTTTGAATGCTGTATTAACCAATGATGTTTGCATATTATACTTTATCTGTCTTTTCATTTTTGTGTCAGGAATTAAGTACCCAAGAACCACCATTACCTGCCATAGGAGAAAAGACTCTTAAAAGAAAACAGTTTATCACAGATGTCAATTTGAGGTAATGTTTGTAATTAATCCGAGTCTTACTAGATAGAACAGCTGATCATGTTTACAAAAATATCTCTCTCATACATTTTTTGTTTCTGTTCTCTAACTTAAGTTTGCCTCAACCAAATGTTATGAAACTTATACACAATGCTTATTACCACAAAATACAGATCAAGTATAAATTTTGGTGGAGTCACTTTCACCGTTCTAGAGTTATGCCTCTACAAATGGAAAAATTCCTGAATTTTTTGTTTCCGTTCTCTAACTTAAGTTTGCCTCAACCAAATGTTATGAAACTTATACACAATGCTAATTACCTCAAAACTCAGATCAAGTATAAATTTGGGTTGCATCACTTTTACCATTCTTGAATTATGTTCCTTTATATCGTTATATGCAAGCGGGGGCATCATCTTTGTCCCATGGACACATTCCCCATTTATTTCATAGTACTTTTCTCTTTTCTTTTTTGAATGGAAAGAAGGTTCAGTAAATGAACTTGGCAAAAACTGATTATAAATTTCAAATACAGAACAATTGCCTTAAAATTGATATTTTAATATTAGATTAAGACCACTTTTACCATTTTCCAAAAGAATATTAAAACCCAGACATAGATAAAGACACCTACTGGGATATTTATTTGCTGATTTAGATTTTCTCGTTCTTTAGAGTTGAAGACATACAGAGGAATGTAATGGAATCAAAGTTGATAGCAGTTCAGTCAAGGGAACAGTTAGATAGGTAAGTTTATAGAAAGCAATTCAGTCAAGGGAACAGTTATATAGGTAAGTTTATAGAAAGCAATTCAGTCAAGGGAACAGTTAGATAGGTAAGTTTATAGAAAGCAATTCAGTCAAGGGAACAGTTAGATAGGTAAGTTTATAGAAAGCAATTCAGTCAAGGGAACAGTAAGATAGGTAAGTTTATAGAAAGCAATTCAGTCAAGGGAACAATTAGATAGGTAAGTTCAGTTCAGTCAAGGGAACAGTTAGATAGGTAAGTTTATAGAAAGCAATGCAGTCAAGGGAACAGTTAGATAGGTAAGTTTATAGAAAGCAGTTCAGTCAAGGGAACAGTTAGATAGGTAAGTTTATAGAAAGCAGTTCAGTCAAGGGAACAGTTAGATAGGTAAGTTTATAGAAAGCAATGCAGTCAAGGGAACAGTTAGATAGGTAAGTTTATAGAAAGCAATTCAATCAAGGGAACAGTTAGATAGGTAAGTTTATAGAAAGCAATGCAGTCAAGGGAACAGTTAGATAGGTAAGTTTATAGAAAGCAATGCAGGTGAGGGAACATTTAGATAGGTAAGTTTTGAAAATCATACAAAAATTATAGATTAATTATCTAAAAAACTTTTCCTTTGGTTCTACTCTAGTCTTCTTTCTATTTGAAGTAAGAAAAAAACCACTGCACTTTTCAGAAATTGTATAATCTTCCATTACTTTTATAGTGGATGTGATATGGAATGTAACAGAACAACTGCTAGTTTATTCAGGGTTTCTTAGTAAAACATAATGCACAGTTTTATCTTGTTATTTATTTATTATTAAATAAACTATGTTGATGCTACCCTCTTTATTATGTACTGTTAATATGTTAATAACCCCCCCCCCCCCCCTTTTGCAAACCAAGTTTTAGTGTGTCTTGTAACCACAACTCCTCTTAAACAGCTAGAGTGGTACTGATTAATCTTTACACAGCTGTGGGACACTACCTGATGTTGTTTAAAGGTACATGCATATAATCCAGGTCCAACATGCTTATATTAAACTTGAGGCATATTTGGTGTTAATATTCTTTACCAATACGGATGGTTCTGTTTACAAAGGAGAAGGTCCGGTAAGGGCTAATTTTGGCCTAAAATTTGAAGTACATCTGATGAAAGATTACTGACATTTTTTAAACACTTAAGTGTCTACTTTAGTCAATTCAATGAGTTTGTGTAAAAGATTTGAACTGATTTGGTCATTAAAGACGCTAAAATTTCAGCTTAAATATGAAAAAACTTGATATATTTAATTACAATCCAAATTCAGACCTGTATCAAGCGCGAATATTGTGTCCATTTTTGCCCAAACTGTATCCAGCTGTGCTCGGCGAAGCAATTTATTTGTCTATAGTGTAATTGGCCGCATTCGTGTTCAGTGTTCAGTCTCAACCTTTATATATGTTATGTATTATCTTCAATTACAACATACATTTAAATATGAAGACTGAACACAAGTGCGGCCACTTCCATTTTAGACAAAACTGGAAAATTAACACAAATGCTAAAATTGTGAAGATTTCAGTAATTTTGCATGATAAATGATGATAGTATCTGATGCATGTGCATTGGATTGTCAAAAACAGCTCATATTTTTGTTACAACAGTATTCTACTTTCCATTAAATAGCTAAAAGTTTACATTTTTAACAAATTTGTAAAATTGCTATATTTTGGGGCCAAAAAGGGGTCTTACCGTACCTACTCCTTTAAAGAATTTCTTTGCCATTTTCTTTCAGTTTGTCATCCTTAATGAGCGATTTTCCAGACCTGGAGGATGTTGACTATAATTCATTGACCAACAAATCTGATACTTCATTGACCAATGGAAAAGATACATCCATTGAAAGCGACATGTCAGTTTTAGAGGACATGGTTGATTGCAAAAGATGAAAATACAATGAAGCAGTTGCTTTAGCAACTACTTAGCACATTACTTCTTTGATATGAATGAAGAGAACACAGTCATTAAAAGTAATTGGTGAAAAGTTATTCTATGCATATTTCTGGTGTATGTTTGATTGGAAAATTGGTATTTTTTATTGCAAACCCAATGAAAGTTTTCCACAGTGCCATCTCTATCTTGACCAGGTATTTAAACTTTTGTAAGTTCACCTGTCCTATTGAATAAATACAATAGCTATTGTTCTCCATGTAGTTTTTTCACTGGGACCTTTAAATTTCTTCTAAGAGAAATCTATCACTCATTGATTAATTTACCTGAGTAAAAAAAAAATCTTGTAAATAGAGGAAAATAGATATAGGAAGATGTGGTATGAGTGCAAATGAGACAACTCTCCATCCAAGTTTTATACTCAAAACTGCATGTGATGTTATATTTATTCAATATTGATAATATATTTTCAATCGGTTGAATGTAAACAGTGATGCAAAGTTGAAACATTAATAAAATATAAAAAGGAAGATGTGGTATGATTGCCAATGAGACAACTCTCCACAAGAGACCAAATGACACAGAAATTAACAACTATAGGTCTCTGTACGGCCTTCAACAATGAGCAAAGCCCATACTGCACAGTCAGCTATAAAAGGCCCGAAATGACAATGTTTTAAAACTTTTGTTTGAAATCAACTTTTTATGATTGAATCAATGTTTATATTAAACTGAATGAAAATATATTATTAATATTGAATAAATACATCATCACACGCAGTTAATGAGTATAAAAAAGTATTTTTGTCTATATATGAGAAAATTTTTTTACCCAGGTAAATTTATCAATGAGTGATAGATTTCTCTTAGAAGAAATTTAAAGGTCCCAGTGAATAAACTACACAGAGAAAAATAGCTATTGTATTCCTTCAATAGGACAGGTGAACTTGCAAAAGTTTAAATACCTGGTCAAGATAGAGATGGCACTGTGGAAAACTTTCATTGGGTTCGCAATAAAAGAACTATAAATTGGTATTAACATACTGAATAATTCATCTATCCTCTAGTATCATATATAGTTTTCATTGGAACCAGATTGATTTTTGTTATATATTGATATATTTAAAACATTTTCATATCATAAATGTCTGAATGATAAACCCTTGAAAAAAAAATTGTTGATAGATTAAGGACACTCTAAATTATACCAATCATGTAATCATGGTACTTGTTGAATTGATATCTATATGAATTCTAAATTTAACATAGTGAAATCCAGCATTCAAGATAATCCCAGGCTACAGAATGAAAAAAATTACACAAATTGTTTTGTAACAAGCTGTACAAGCTTTGCTAAACTATCTGTAATATATTCAAGATATTTTGTCTTTGAGTTTCTGACTCATTATAATAAGTAAAGAATGGAGAAAAAATGTTTATTTCATGGAAATTTTCTCAAGAAGAAAAGAGACAGGATGAGACTACATGAAACTTCTAGTCACTAAAATTCCTGCTGTTTTAATTCGATAAATTATATACAGACCATATTATTAAGGTTGTTACTTTAGTGTTATTTAAATTTACTTATTTAAATTATGTAATTTTTTTTATGATTTTAATGTTACAGTGCTCCCTTGGTTAATTGACTGCTTTAAACTGCCAAACTCCTATATCCCCACGATATTCCTCAGTTCTTTTTTTTGTTTTTTTTGTATATTAAAATTCCATTGTTTTTGGGTAAAGATTGCATGAAATGCAATCAAAACCCTATGGTACTGACTTGATATCTATATCTTCCAAGGTTTATCACTACCTTTGATAGTTCAAACAAAATAGTGCAATGAAGTGATCATTATTTTGACCCTATCCAGTCAGTGTCATACAATTTATTGATGATATGTTATACTTTGATATTTAAGTTACAATATGATGTGTATTTGAATTACCATACTTGTCAAGAAAACAATTTTTTTAATCAAAAATACACAAGTTATGCATGGTGTATGAATATGTTATAAAAATAGGTTCAACTACAAATGTACAATCATGAATAAAGGAAGATAACTCCAACTCAAATTTTTATTATGCCTAGCAAAATACAATTCAATGTTTTATTTATAAATTCACAAAATTGCAAAATGAAAGCAATCTTAACCCTTCAGTGCTCACAAGCATTTTGATTAGAATGTCATATTAACATATTGCCAATAACTGAATGGTTTTATGTACAAATTGGACATAAACAATGAAGTTTCTCTCTTTATTAATGCCAAATCACTTGATGATTGACAGTTAACCTTCACTGTTTTTAATTACAATGAATGTAAGTTAGTCATAAAAATGTCTACATAAAAAAAAATCCATTATTAGTGAACAGATTAATGTTGATTTGTATGTTGAAATTACTGATAATGTTACCAATGAAATTACTTTTGACATTGTTCAGTCAAGTACATGCTAGTAAGAAACTTGTATGCACTATAGAAATATGTTTGCCGATTTTTTCAGTAAAACTAATCTAAAGCTGTTTTATTCTTTAAATATCTCTATTATAAAAAAATAAGGGTAGATAAAATCATGCAGTTGTTTTAATACATGTACACATAAACATTTATTACTTGCAGTTCAGTAGTTAGAAATAAGGAGATGTGGTATGAGTGCCAATGAGACAACTCTCCATCCAAGTCACAACGTGTACTGTTTGTTTTATCAACAAACTATTCATCCAAAGTTCTTTTGTAATTTGAAGAAAAAAAATTCTCAATATACTGCCACCCATGCATTTAAAAAAAAACTGCCAGGTCTAAAAGGTGGCATTTGCCCAAGTAATGTAAGAAATTATTTGTTATTATAAGCATTAAATAATTTTAGTTAGGAATTAATGCAAAACTTAATAAGATCTAGTATAAGACCTTGTGCATGCTTACATGTGTTAAATTTTCAAAAATAATTAATCTATATCATTTAATTTGTTATTTAGAAAGTTAGTCATTAGTTATTGTTTGTTGTTTATTCTGTTCTCATTTTAGTGAAATTTTTACTGATCTATTCAGAACACTATGAAAATCCATGAATTGTTTTATTTGTTATTTTTCTTTTTATATATGATATGTTGTTACTGTTCCTTACCAAACCAATTCAGTGGTCATTGTTTGTTTAGTCTGCCATGTTTGTTTTTTGTTTATGTTTTAAGCATAAATCAGGTCATTGATTTTCTCTTTTGAATTGTACAACATTTTGTCATAACAGGGCCTTTTATAGCTTACTAAACAGTATGGGTTGTGCGCATTGCTGAAGGCCTACAACATTTTGTACTTAAGCGAGACATAGCGATCCTACAGTTCATCATCAGCAGCATTGCCAACATTTAGGTAGAGTGTGTAGTTAAAAGTTTTTTAGACATCAATAACTTTTTTGAACCTTCATGGAATTTAATGAAACTTTGGGAGAAGCCTCTTAATGATTAATAGACAATGTGTGAATCCAAAATTTTGAAAATATATTTTTCAGTTTTCTATATTTTACTAATCAGTGGACACCATTTTTCTTTGCAATTAACATTTACATACTATCTCAGATTTCATTTTTTAAGACATCAATAAATTTGGTAAATTTTCATGAAATGTTTTGTAGTAATTTGGGGTAGTACTTTGGGCATTCAAATTGTTTCCATATATTATTTCAAGAACCATTGAACCCATTCTTTCAAATTTTTAATATGTTTTTTTCTGATGTCAAAATTGAGGGCAAGTTTTATTTTGACATTTTCCATAAGTTATAGCCCTTGATTGCTAAACAATGACAGTAACTAATGTATGCAAAACCTGGTTTGTTGTCATTTTGATATCCTCTTGTTTAAATTTTCTTCAAAGATTTATATTTTAAATAAAACAGTAAAAATGTAAATTTAAAAAAACATGTACAATTTTCTATTTTGAATAAAACAACAATGCATGCAAGAAATAAAAACAAAAAATCTTTAAAAAAAGTATTCTTTAGACTTTTACTGTTCAAATTCCATGTTTTAATAGCTTTTGAATTTAGACTCTAGGTGTAAAAGAAATTCAGGGAGAAATGGCCCTACCTTTTTGACTTAGGTTCATAAAATATTTTGTTATTAGTTCTTGCACAGCTCTGATTGCGTTCGGCATATAGACCACATACAGATTTTTTTCATGGAGACATCAGTTCTTTATGCAACAGTCTTGTATACAATTTTTTTGCTACTTAATGTCTTTGAACTATCTTTCAGTAAATGCGAGTACTCTCAGACCTTTACTTTTGTGTTTTTGTTAATTGTTTTTGTGCATTGTATTGATCTAATGAGTTAAGCCTTGTCAATTGATTTATTTTAGTTTGTTCTTATGATTTCCTTTTGCACTACTGTCCCAGGTTTAGGCACCCACAACTTTATTTACCCTGCTTCATTCTGCATGTGCCTGTCCCAAGTCAGGACCCTGTAATTCAGTGGTTGTCATTGTTGCTGTAAACCATATTTGTTTTTTGTTTTTTGTTTATTGGTTAATATAGAAATCTCTTGTATGAATTGTTTTAGATTTGTCATTTCAGGGCTTTTTAACTGGATTTTCAAAGGAAAAATCGGTTATTGATTTGGGGCTGTATGGCGGGCAGGTGGTCGGGCGGGCGGGCAGCTGCCAAACAAGGTCCGTTCATTAACATGAAAATGCTTTGACGAAATTTTCTCAAATTTAGATATGTTGTTTCCTGTGACTAAATGAAGGTCAAGTGCAATTTTCACGATTTTAGCTTTTCTGGTTGTTGAGTTATATCCCTTTCCAATAGTCAAAAGTGGTACTTATTATGTGATTGAGTTATTTCCCTTTGAACAGAAATGGTTAATTATATATATAAAGTCTGATTACACTTATAGATAAGTTTTATAGATTTTTAAAAGACATTGAATTAATGACATTTTGGATTTTTTTTTGATTTTTTTTGATTTTTTTTGGTAAATTTTTTGAAGAATTTTGTGGTAGGATGTTTGTTATTCTGTATAAACTAATTTTCTGAATGCTATTTTTTTTTTAAAAAGTGAACTACTTTAAAAACTAAGCTTATATTGTCTATTAATAAACATATATTTAGATTTCTGATTTTGGTTTAATTTCATCAAAAATTGAATTCTTGGGGTTCTTTGATATGTTGATTCTAACAATGTTTTAGTGGTTAAATCATATCTTATTTTATTGATTATAATTTGAAAATAAATAGAACATCATATCTAATTTTAGAGAAATATTTTAAGTGGTTAAATCATATCTAATTTTAGAGAACTATTTGTTTATCATTTATTCAGTTTGAGTTATTTCCCTTTAAACAGAAAATTAATAAGTGTATGGATGAAATTAAACTGTGTTTCATTTTCAACATACATTAAATATATATGGGGTTCTTTCAAATGCTTAATCTAAACCTGTATTTAAATATTGGATTCTTGGGCCCAGTTTTCAAGTTGGTTCAAATCAGGGTCCAAAATTAAACTTTTGTTTGATTTCAACAAAAATTGAATTTATGGGATTCTTTGAAATGCTGAATCTAACCATGTATTTATTGATTCTAACAATGTACTTAGATTTTGGATATTGGACCATAATAGGTAAATATCCAATTTCAAATTTTTAAGTTCTTTGACCACATTCATTTTGTGTCACAAACCTATGCTGTGTCAAGTATTCAATCACAATCCAAATTCAGAGCTTAAATGTAGTGTCCATACTTGCTCAACTGTTCAGGGTTCGACCTCTGCAGGAAATCCGGTTTGCTGTCACTCTGACAGCCTCTTGTTATAGCTAGATATGTGGGATGGTTTTTTTCTCACCGTTGAAGGCCGTACAATGACCTATAGTT